GAGTGAGCAGAATGATCTGTCAGCTTCTCCCATTTTTATGTGTGAGCAAGGTCTTTGTAGCTACTGTCTGCTCATTCATGCTGATGGCTACAAGTCCACAGGGGTTTGCTGTAGTTGTTTTAGACTTTTAGCCCATTTCTTTATATCTGCCACTTTTAGGGCCTGAGGAGATGCAACATATTCCAGACCAGCTTTCTTTTTTAATCAAAAAGCAAGTCTGCATACACATAGGTTGTTCCTGCCTAAAACACTGATGCAGCCAAACAGAGTCAGCAGAAATGGCAGCTCCATTTGCAGCTGCAATACCTTTGGAGTGACACATTAAAGAAAGGCTAGCACATTTCTAAAACCATGCATCTAAATCGTATGTTTTGCAGTGGAAACAGATGATCTTGTCTCAGTTTATTTTGTGGCAGAGCCGCATAGACATACAACTAGCAATATAACCCAATCTTCCACTTTGAATGTCAGGATTTTGGTCCAGAAAGCAAAGTGGTTTTCCCGTTATCCCCTAAGAAGTATTTCTGTATTGTAGCAGAAGTGCCACCTAGAACAATCAATCCCTACATGCAACTTTATAGCCTGCAGTAGTGCAACTAAAAGCCCTGCCACAGTTGCCTCTTAAGCTGAAGATCTGTGCTGGTCTGGCTGCATGGGACATCCTTGCTCAAGGAAGGAAGAAGATCACCACCACACCCCAAACCCAGTCTTTCCCCATACACAGTGCCACTGCTCTCTGAGTATTAATAAACCAGGTGTTGAAAGCAAGGCTCAGCCTGAGGCATGCTCAGTGCTACACTTGTCGCTTGACCCACCTCCTCATCCTCGAGATTAATTAGGCCTGGCCCCTCCCTGCTAAATTGCCTCTCAGGCACATTGCTCAGTCTTCCTCCTCTTGCCTCTGGCATATTCACTCACTAACTTTTTATTTCAATGTTCATGTTTTCCAGTTTGTAAGGCCCTCCACTCATTTTCAGTAGGCTGCCCCAAGAACTCTGTTCCAGTAATGGGACGTGGGGGAGGAAAAATGTCTGGAACGAGGGAGGATGAGCACAGCTGGGTTGGGATAGGGAGTTGGAGCTTCCAATCTCCTCACTCTTTGCCCTCTAAATCTTCCCCATTATGCTGTCTCGGGTGAAATGCACTAGCTGGGCTGAGAGACATCATCACTTCTGATCTGCAGATGCCCTCTCACCCCTGGGTGCTCATGTGAGAGATGCAAGTTCAGACATTCTCCATGTAGCCAGCTGTCCCCTAACCCTGGCTGGAGCTTACATCTAGGGACACAGCTGTGATATTTGGCTACAGGAAAGGTCTCTATGCTCTAAATCCTGCCTGGCAAAAGAGGATAACCTGAGGAATAAACCTTCCCCACATTTTACCAGCTAGCTGGCATAGTGCTATGTAACTGCTGCCATTCCTTGCCTTAAATGCCTTCATCTTTCTGTGTATCACCTGTGAAGGTCAGGCACCTCACCCAGATCTGAGGATCACACTTTCAGGTCGGCACACCCTTGGCTAAGTTTAAATTTTTGCTCCTGTCTCCATCCCTGTTCATTTACGCCATCTGGAAAGACTGGAAGCTGTTTGGGCCGATGCCTGCCATTTGCTACATGCGTACTGCAAGAAGCTCAGCTGAACCTTAATTGAGATCTCTGGATGCTGTTGTAATACAAAAAGTAAATATTAATTAGTAGGATCAGCAGATCCAGTACCAGACATATTGCAAGTCACGCCCCCACTATATTTATACATGCTGATATGTGAATGTGCCTGCAATGGTTAATACCTCCACATATCTGTCTGTACTCTCTGTTTTCCAGGTAATACCCATTCCTTTCATAATCGTGTCACTTAATATCCTCACTAAGACAAAACATTCTGTAACACAGTAGCACGTGTTTGGGCAGAATAGTGAAATTATCTTTGAAATGTAGCACAGATGGAATGATCAGATGACGAGTCTCCTTTCCATTTCTCTAAATTTCTACTGTGGCTACTGTGTTTTAATATTCTAAGCCATCAACGAGTTCATTCTTCATGCCTGTGATGAACTAAGTTATGTTCGCTGCTATCTGATTCTTGTGTGCAAGTTGCACATTCCAAAGAAAATCCATAATGGAAAACATAATTGCAGTAACAAGCACCCTAGAGGGATGCAAAATTCCTCCAGAGGATCATCGGGGGTTAATTGGGCTCTTCTTTGCACAGTTCCATTCCTATTCATATCGGCTGAGCACTAGAGGGAAAGCAATAAAATTACCAGCTAAAGCCCAGGTTCCTGCCTGTTCAGTGTGCCACTCTAACTCCTAAGACAGAGCTCTGATTGTATGGCTGAGCCAAACAGGACGGCTGTTTTTAACACCCTTCTAACTTATGGTAACCATTAACTACAACCTGACTTCCCATTACAACATACCACTGTGAACACCTATTAGCAGCTAATTGAATCATCTAAAAATGGTCATAATTCAAACCTGTGCTTGTGTTTTCATAATGGTTCTCACAGCTTTTGCTGTAGTGCAGGAGAATATGCAAATCAAGGCTCTGTTTTAAAGCTCATGCTAAGATGGAAGTTTAAATGGAAATCTAATGGAGTGACAAAGCGGAATAAAACCATATTGCATTTTTGATGTTACCCATGAGACATGATAGGAGAAACTAATAACAAGGCTCCCTATCTCTAAACATTTTCCAGCTGTGAGCCACTAAAGAGCCAAAAGACCTCTCTGAGTCAACACCAAACAAATGCATACACTCACATCGTAATTTTCTGCAATTTCTATTCACAATTTTGAGCTGTACAGCATTTTTCATTCTCCCTTTTATTTAAAGAAACATAAGTATTTCCTCTCAGAGGCATCATGGGTTGTTTTCCTACCCACTATATCCTGAAGCCTTCAATTTTATTGTAGTTCTTTAAACATGATTATGCTTTTATTGTATTATGAAAGGCAACAAAGTACCTGTTTGCATAGTGCAAACAAGCACAGTGTTATTGACAGGTTTGAGCATATTTGCTGCCACGGATTTTTAATTTGCCTTACAGCCTTATAAAGAGTTTTCATTAAACCCATGAAGAAGTGGTTAGGTGCTATTTTGTGTAGAAATATGGCTACTTCCGATTAGCATAAATTTTCCTAAACAGGCAAATTACTTTAAACCATTTACTTAAACTGAAAGCAGAATATAGTTCAGCAATTGTAAGAGAACTGTTGAGAGCAGATAAAAAAAGACATTACACCTCAGACAGAGGCTATCGAGTCTCCAGGGAAAAGACCTGCTCCCTTTTGCTTAGTTATGGAATCATGGTGCTTTCAGGCCCTTGCAATGCAAAGCAAGGTGCAATCACTTAAAGCTCACTCAGGTGTCATTGGGGTTTGCATCAGTTAAATAAATCCAAACTCAGTGGGAGGGTGGAGGAGGAGGAAGGGATTTAGGCAAAACTATGGCAGCTCCCTCCTACAATGAAGCACCCAACCACAATCAAGTCTGTCTAATGTAGATATCTATTTGCACAAAGAGTGAATGTCCTCAATATGTTTGTGTGAAGCACTAACCCTGTCCCACCACACCCTTTTTACACATTACCCTCTGGTCAGCCCAGAAAAGGGCTGCTCAGATCTGCAGGGTTGGCCTCATTGCAGGACACACCTGGCATGAGGTGTGACCCACAATCTGCATTCACTCTGCTGGCTCACACATCACGTTCTTCTCATGTTTATTAGATGGGTCAGATCCTTATGTCTTGCATCAGCATCTGATGCACAGTGTAGCCTTCTTGGAATAGCCATCAATTTTCAACCGAAGAAGTTTTAAATCACCAGCCATTTGTCAGACTGTTTCCCACCACTTAGCACAAAACATTTTGATGGATAGAGAATGCTGGATTGTCTCTCCAGTGAATGTACAAGAATTATGTGTTTTACATGGGAGATGGGAATTCTTTCCCTCAGACACACATGTGCAGCCCTGCTGGCTTTCTTGGAAGCTGCATACATACTTCTGAGCAGACAACCACCACATTACTTCTCATATGCTCAGAGATTGTGCTAGGTTTCTCCAGCAAGATTAATAGTGTGCCAAAAATAAGCAACTGAACCCTCATTTAGGCAATTCAAAAAACAGTATTTTGAATGTCCACTCCCTAGACCTTTGTTTCAGTCCTCACTTCAAACATTATAAAATCTGCATTTGTTAAGAACCCTCAGAATTTGCTGAAGCAAGTAGCACAGGGAAGGCAGTGGCTGGGGCATCTATGGCAATTGTCCTCTGGCTGCCAGATGGGCTTGCAACATGTATGTGTGTGTCTCTCCCCAGTTTTGGGAAGACCCTACTGCCCTTGTTACCACCAGAGCTCTAAGAATTTCTTCTACTAATCAAGCAGGGAGGACTTAAAATGTTTTTAAAGCAGGAGACCTTGTGCAGTTGCCAACAGAGACAATGACCAAGGTACCAGTGATGCACAGAGTTGGCAGCAGTGAGCTACAGAGGGGCACGGCTGCAATTTGAGGCATATTTCAAGAACCAACCTGTTTGCCATATAGAAAGGCTCCTGCCATTGTGAAAAATGTCCTCATCCTATCTCCTAAACTGTAATAAACTACCAGGTTTCACATTTTTCATTCTAGCATAGACATTAAAAAAAACCTCCTGAGAACAGGAAAATCAAGGGCAGAAGCAGACTGTGTGCCAGTCATTCTTTCATTTAGTCCCCACACAGTGGAAGAAAGGAAATGTTTTTTAAATTTTCAACTCTGACCTACTAAGCCATAGGGTCATGACCCCCATTTGGGAAAATCTCTATTTTCTCCTCTTCCTCCTCCCTCTCTCTCTCTCTGTCTCTCTCACACAAACACACACACTTGCATGCCATGAAAACATTATCATAATGTCTGCTGACAAAACAATGCCTGAAGATATGTGTCAAATGCAAGCATCCAAATAACAGAGCCAACAAAGCATTAATTTCAATTTCAAACATAGGTTAATAAAAAAAACCAAACCAAAAAGACGTACATTTTTACTAGACAGGCAGTGCAGCATTACATAAATTGACTGAAAATGACTGAAAATGAAATAAAATGACAGCACCCAAGAGTAACCATTAATTCAGGGTTCTTTCCTTTCCAAGTCTTCATTCATTTTTCTTCCCTTGACTAAATACTTGTATTTTTCTTCTCTCTTTTAGATACTATCTTTGGCTATTTCTTTACCTCTCTTTTCCATATTTGCTTGACTTTCCTCTCATTTTCTGTGGAGCCTAACTCTGGGTTCCCCACGGAATTCATTCACAGTCGAATGTTTCTTAGTCAGCAAAACCTTCCACATCATCACGTTTTTCAGTGCAGTTCCTCCAGCTTTCATTATACCCTTGGGCTAAGGACCATGTGAGCCCCCAGTCCGGGGAAAGGAAGTTCACTCTTCCTGCCGTCCATGACAGCTGCCTTCAAGCACCCCAGCTGGCTTTCTTGAGCCCAGAATGGGAAAACTACAGTCTAGGTTCAATCCATGAGCAAATTTCTTGCTCCTCTCAGACCTGCCATGCTGTTCAGAATTTCTGTCCTGGGTCCATTACTAGGAAGGCCCAGGTTGTCATCTACAGAGAGCTCCTCTTCACTGGGAGACAGCAACAAATAGAGATAAACCCAGCTCAGCCCTAGTACACCCAGATAGACCATAAATCTGATGCAGAGATCGTACTTATGGATGTGTTTCTCCCTCCCCTTTCTGCATCTGTGTGTAGCTGCCCCTCCTGCTTTGAAAAGGAGCAAAATGTTAGATACCATCCCTGAAGAGCAATTCAAATTCCTGAGCTAAACTTGAGGAAAAATGTCCCTGCTTATCATGTTATTGAAATACACTGGCTCCATGTAAATTCTCAGTTGACTAATATTGATTCCATAATATTTACTGTTGATCACTTTCAGGTCTTGCTGCTTTCCATCACTACTGATGGTAGAAAAGCATTATTTTTCTAGCATGTTACTGTTAGTCTTCAGTGTGCTGTTCTCTATCATCTTTTGGAATGCCTTTTTCATATAAAGAAATTCGTATTGTTTATCGCCTCCAGAACTCAAAAAACATGGTGTTTGCTAGCCCAGAAAATATCCACTGGCCCTTGAAAACTCATGGCCAGGCAGCATCACACATGTTTGTAATGTATTCATGCCAGTCCCAGCAGGAGCTCATGTGCAGGTGCAGGTTAAAAGCTCACTTTGGTCCTTTTCACCATAAAGCATTAAATCTCTGGATCCCTTAATACTCCCACCCAGCCTCACAGCAGGCATGTCTGAGGAGACATTAGTGTAGTGCTTGTAGTGCTGCTGAGGTACTTAGTTAAGCGTTCCCCTTTTGGGCCTCATTTTTGCTACTATGCACAATAACGCTCAAGGCTATGCAGCTGCACTCCAGTTCATGCAGGATCAGGTTCCCCTGCCCTCTTTCTCCTGGCTTAGCAATTCTATTTTTTTTTTATTTTTCCTTTTCTGCCCTACACTCATACATGAACATTTCAGAGCACAGAGCACCATTAAGCTCCAATAGTACATGCACAAGCATTTCATAGCTCTCTGCACAGCCCTTTTGCCAGTCTTTCCTTTCAAAGAGGCTGCTCCAAGAGTTGCCTGGAGCCAGTGAAAGTCTTCCCGTTCGCCTTGGATCAGGCCCAAAGCGAGGGACACATTTAGATGGGAATGGAGGCACTAACGAAAGGCAGCTTTCCTGCCAGCAGGCAAAATGCAGGGAGACCTACATGGAGAAAGGAGTATTTGAGGGTCAGACTTGAGAGACGAGCCATTGTGTGGCGGATGCGCCGCCAAGCAATCTGTGCTCTTCGTGACTTCCATTCGAGCAGCCTGTTGAGGCACTCAGCTCTGGCTTTGAACCGCGAGGTGAAGACAGAGTATGGGCACTGCCTCACTTTTTTTAATCCGCCAGATTTATTTGTTTAATATATTTTTGCTGTCTTGTTTATTCTTTTTATAAATCTTACTATAACAAAGCAGGATTTTCTTAAATGGCAGTGGAAAATATGTCAACTGATGATGTTTGGGAGAGTCAAAAAGAAACCCAAGTAAAAGCCTGTATTCAAATGTTGTGAATGGGCAAATGGGTATTGTTCTTCTCACTCCCTTCTTTTTTTTCTGGATGCACCAGGGAGCCCAGGAAGAGATGTCTCAGAGCAATTCTTTCCATCTCTTTACCAACAAACAGAGCAATACAAGGGTCTTCACAGTCCAGCAGTTCCTACTGCCTGTTACTCAATAACTTGCAAACACACACTACTTTAGCACCACCCAAGTCAAAACTTAGTCCTCAATCAATGCAGATTGTCCATGGCTCTCTCTTTCTCATAATGCTCTTTCTTGAAAATAGTTTCATTGGAATGATTTATGTACCTTGTTTAGATCTCAGTTCTTTCCACTCACATTAACATGCAGCAAATATAAATGAACTATCTCATCCAAAAGAAAATCCAACAGATCCTTTTATCAGAGTTGTAAGATGATGTGTTTGGATGAATTGTCTAGCAGGGTCCTGACAGAGCTCTGGTTTGTTTAATTTTCAGCTGTTATCTGGAAGCAGAAGTAGAAAAAATCATTAGTTATATTAGCAGTTGACACCCAGACGGGGGAAGAAGAAAGAAAACAAGAAATTTATAGGGAAAAGGGAAATCAATTGAGAAGGATTTGAGAATTAGATAAGCATTATCCAAATGATACAAATTTATAATTACATATATCAACAAGCAGACTGATTACTTACCAAGTTTTATAATTACATATATCAACAAGCAGACTTACCAAGCTGGGATAACTTAATGCTACCTTGGAAGATACTCTGCATGGAATAACAATGGTAATACCTTGTACCCAGAAAATGGGTTGTCTGTTCTTTACATAGTATTTCAAATGCTGTAGAAATTCACAGAGACATGGAGATCACAGCAGGGGGAAAGTAACTACCACTGAACAGGAAAGAACACAAATGATGGAAAGACTTAAAGCACTATTATTGCATGTGCATTTTGCCCCTCCAGGCTAATGAGAAGAATTGAGCTCAACTACTTAATGACCACAAATCTTCTGCAGTGCTCTGTTCTGGCTCATTGTGTACATAAATTATGGCTTCTGAATGGTACGCAAAGTACAGCTCACTGCAACCCAGATTTATTTACATGAGCAAAAGAAGAGGCAATATCTAGAAAAAGGTAGCTGTCGTGTGAGGTAGCTCAGGAGCATCACTCCGTGGTGGAGTCCATGTGTGTTACAGGGTCTGTGTATGTGCCAGAGGCACAATTGAGCCTCCCTGCTGGAAAGGCTTTCCTCAGCACTGCGAACTCTTGCACTGTGAGCCATTGCAAAGTCCCAGAGATCTGCAGAGACTGGGTAAGAGGCAGTGAACCTTGTAAGTGCCACTACTTAGCTGGAGAAAATCTGGCATATCACAGCTGGTGTGCATGGGCAAAGGATTCTGTCCATACCCAGCTTGAAGACCATCAGACAGACATCAAATTAATATCTGAGCCTTGAATTGCCAAGTAAATTTCCTTGGCTGCAGTCTACTATTAGTCCCCGGCTCACCATCACCAGTTCATAGTTCCCTGTCCTCCCTGTCCTCCATTTCCAGTGTCAATGCTGCAGAGGCTCCTGTCCCATGCTCACTCCCTTTGCCTTTTTTTTCACCCTCACAGGCTCCCTGCCTCTATCACAATCCCTGGGCACATCCTAGTCTTTCCTCTTCTGCTCTCGGAGTCTGCAGAAAAAAAGTAATTACAAGGTCTCCTTTTTTCCAAAATACTCACAGATTCTCGTCCCAGACATTCACTTCACGATGAACCAAGCACTCCTGGAAACCACCACACCTCTGAATACTACTGGGGTTTTTGTCTTGCAGCCCTAAAGATATTCTCTACAGTAAGTATAGCAATACAAACCTATGTTATGATGATAAATGTCCAAAAATCATGTCAAAATCTCAGAATGCTGCCATGAAGGTCAAAGCATGATTGGAGTGCCTCAGCACATTTTGGACAGAAGTCTTGAGCTTAACCTCCCATGAAGGTCAAAGCATGATTGGAGTGCCTCAGCACATTTTGGACATCTTGAGCTTAACCTCTCTAGGTGGATATTCTCCACAAGCTGTCCTGAGCTGCTTAAGCAGAGGTGACACAGTGAAACCTCCAACTTGGTGCCATGGGCAGAGTATTCCATGGCTGTAGAACAGCCACAGGGAATAGGATAATACAATGGAAAAATCACTTGTTTGTGGTTTTCTTTTCTAATCGTTCAGTGGATTATTTAGGATTTGTACTCATTTGCAAGGGTCTTGGGTTGGCAATGGCCAACTGAACACACCTTTGGACACCTCCACCCTCGCCCTGTTATTGTGTTCCCAAGATGCAACTCATCGGGATTTGCCCCCCTTGTCTCATTTCTTCCTCCTCCAAGATAAGAAAGCACAAATGTCCAGGAGCTTTACTGAGGTATCTGCGCAGGCCATCAGATATCTCACATGCTCCATGCTGGGTTCCAGTATGGGCCCCATTTTGGGTTATAGTCAGGCTGTGTCCACAACAGTGAACTAGACCATTATGGCATTGGGACCAAACATCCAGGCCGGTTGGAGGGAGGCCAGAGAGCAGTGGGCTAGTGAATGAGCCTCCTAAATAAGGTGGCAGCCAGCAAACCAGCCACTGGATATGGTGCCTGGAACACTCCTACTGCCAGACCAGATCCAAAAATTGTTCAGAGAGATTATCAGCTGCAATGGGACATGCTCATGCCAGAGCATGTGCTAGCAGTGTGCTAGCACAGGCTGTCATCTCCCAGGGCCAAAGAAAGCTGCCAGGCCTTCTTGTATAGAGAAGACTAGCATGGACTGAGTTTCAGAGTCTGACTTTTCTCCCTCTGAATAATGATAAAACAGCATCCTAGAATGTGGCAGCCACAGAACTAGAAAAGGTTTGGGCTGCATTCTCTCCCTGGAAATGTGGGAAGCTATATACTGAGTATTTCCTTCCCACTTGGTCTCCCCAAGGTGAGATGAAATCCATCAGCCTTTTGTCTTCATCCAATCTGCTTGGGATAGGTATAAAAATATACTTGATTGCTTTCTTCAGTAAAATTTCTTTGGTTTTAAGGTTACTTTCAAAGTTTGTTCAGATTCTTCAAGACTTCTTCACCCATGCATCTTTCTCAGTATAAATATGTTTTTACTAACATGTTTTGACAAATGACACTCAGAATTTGCCTCCCTGATGCCACTGAAGTTTAGAAGTAGCTGAATGCAGCTTTGCATATATATATGTTAAGGACAAAAAGCTTTCTCTCAGACCCGCAGAGTTAAACATGGAACAAAATATATGGCAGATAGAAATACCTCGCTTTGTTGTAATTCACAAGTGATTCTCTCAAAAGCAGAGTTGTCTACCTGCATAGGACTAGTATCACAAGAGGAGCAGTAGATCCAAAACTGAGTCTGACTTTACAGACATTCTGGCCAAATGTTTTCTTCCAGCCCTAGCTGGCTCATCCACAAAAGCTGCAATCTCTACTCCCCTTACCTACTGCTACCACTGCTACCAGCCACAGATCTTTTATTTCAAGAGAGTCCTCGGGCATCCTTTGAACATTGCACCCAAGTAGCTCGAAGTATTTAAATTACAGGGTTTTTCTAAACCAGCTGATTTGACTGAAACGGTTCAAGAAGCTTTTATTTCAGCAAATCTTGCAGGAGATTGAGACGGACATTCAGAAGACAGATAGTGATCTGCAGCTGAAATTGCAACATCTCCCATAGATGTAGCTCTTTGCTCAGCACCCTAGTTATTAACACAGTATGTTCCCAGTTGGAGGACAGATTTCCTGGGGCACCACCTCTTGCACCTTCCCACATGGGTGGAGTTTGCAAGGAGAGGAAGTGCAGGCTAGGCAGATATGCCTGAACTCTCTTGCTCTAACACATCTCCTTTGCCACTTTTTAGAGCCTCATCTGGCTTTTTAGAGAGACTACTAACCTTACCTCCCACTACTGAGTCTCCTTAGATCATTGCAGCTGCTCTCAAAGGAGCTGAGGCTGTGAAGGGTGTGGAAAGGACAAGAACAGACCCCAGAAAAGCATGCTTCATCCTTCCCCTTCCTCCCTGTTCCTGCCCAGGGCTGGCAGCACAAATAACACAGTCCCGACCTGCTCATTCCCACAGATGGAGCAGTGTCTCAGGCAGTGGCAATGACTGAAGAAAAGGCTGTAAGACAGAGAGGGAGGAGGAAAACATATCTAGGATCTGGCACTTTCTGCTTCCAACTCAGACTGTCCTCAGGTTGATCAGAGCAGTCGTGGAATCTGCTGAGCCTGGCAGGGCAAGTGAGGCACGCAGAGGCAGTGGCAATGGGGGCAAGGAACGTAACCTATTTTGAGAAACCCAAAGAAAGGGGAAAGGGGAAGGTGAGTAAGGCTGAAACCTCAAAGCAGCACCTTACACATCTGTCTTCTTCCACATTTATTTCTAAACATCATCCTTGTGCTGAGCTCACCCCTCAGAGAGGGAATTGGCTGACGTAAGTGTGAACTGAAGTGCCCATGCTACAGCTGGGGCTCTATGACTTGTTTCTCTCTGCAGTTTATCTACACACTCACTGCTTTGCCACTTATTGTTTTGCACCATGTACATTTCAGGATATCTCTATCACTCTCCTAGCTTATAAGCCCAATAGAGCAGTTGCTGTGCTGCCAGGACTCTATTTGCTTGCCTTTGTCTACCATTTCCAATACAACTGGCATGAATGAATAAAGAGAAATGCCACAACACTCCTAGTCACCGATATCCTCCTTTCCTGCTGAACATCATTGTTCATTAGGTGATAGAAGATATTTTGGTATTGGAAGCAGAGTCATATTCATCTGTATTTCAGACTAACATGACATCAGTGAAATCACAGTCCAGACTGCAAGGTTTGGGTTTGTCTGCTTGCTGCTGGCAACAGGATCAGTGAGTAGTTACCTAACCAAGGGCCAAACACTGCATTGCTCAGGCACAGAATGGGGTTTTCAAAGTGCCTGGGGAACTTCAGTTCCTAATGAAAATAGCACTTGTACCCACAGCCTCACAGCCTCACTCAGAGTTGTCTTTGGCTTTAACAGCAGATAGGGGCAGAAGGACCTAGAGTTCTCTGACTCACATGTCTGTCCTGTCCCATAGACACTTCAATGAGGGAAAAGGTCACCCAGAGCCCTAACATGCAACCAAGAGCAGAGAATACTTTATAACCACAGACTAGTCACTCTGAGTGCTGAGCACCTCTCAAAGGTAACTGTATTTTGTCTTCACAGAAGTGTCAAGAGATGGGAGAAATATTATCAAAAGGTGGGTTTCTGGAGCACAGACAAACATCTAATGCATCAGGCTGAAAGATTACAACCCACCTAGGGTTTTATGGGTCAAAAGAAGAAAATAGAAAGGAGGGGTCAGCAAGTAAAAGTGAGCATAACTCCATTAAATTATCACTAGATACTATATATATAGATTTGGCCCAGTTGAAAAATTACCTACAGGTTGGTCACAAAGTTTAAAAGA